CAACGAATTTTTCCACCCGTCCCGGGGGCTGGCGAAATCGCCTCCCCCTCTTTAGGGCTTGCTTGGGCGGCTGGAGAGACCCTCGGTGCCCCGCTGCCCCTTCGCCCCCTCGGTGAACCGGGACGGCGCTGCCGGAGCCGGTGCTGAGTGCGCGGCCTGACCCTACTCGACGGGGAGAGATGGGCGAGCCCTCGAGGGGCGGCGTGGCCCGGGCCCGGGGACAATCCGGCCGGGGGCTGATGATAGGGATAGACCCCCACGTCCCCTCGTCCCCCCACGTCCCCTCGTCTCGGGGGTTGCGGGAGAGGGTGCGGGCAGCCCCCGGGGGGTGCCCGGAGCCGCCCCGGTGCCCCGGCAGCCGTCGGGGCAGGGCCGGTCCCGCTCCGCAGCGCCGCCTCGTGCCCGGTCCCGCTCCGGGCCCCGCCGCAGCCACCACCGGGAGGGCACCCGGCGGAGGAGGCTCCCGCAACCCGGTTCCCAGCCCCGCTCGTCGGGCATTAACGGCTTTGTAAGGTGGCAGAAGGTTTGTAATAGCAATGTAAGAAGTGCACTTAGTGCTATAATGTGTCTTTGCTTTTGAGAAGCTTTGATCCACGGCAGTTTTCAGGCACCTGGCTACCGCAGTGGGATCTGGGCTTGGTTGCTATATTATAAAATGCAAACTCAGCTTGAGCTTTTTGAAAGGCAGCTTGCTGAAATGCACTGTCTAATATGGTAAAGGGGGGAATTGAAGGCAAGGGAGAAGTAATGAGAAATGGGGTCCCTTTGGAAGTCTACATAGGATTTCTTTGAATTTTTTTTTTTTTTTTTTTTGGGTTTTAAATTGCCAAAACACCCCAAAAAAAAAAAAAAGAAAAAGAAAAGAAAAAGGGATAAAATGAAGAAAGAAAAAAAAAAGGGAAAAAAAGGAGGGGAAAAAAAAAGGAAAATAAAAGGGGGGGAGAGAAAAAGGGGAAGAAAAAAGGGGGGAAAAAAAGAGGAAAAAAGGGAAAATATTAAAAAAAAAAAAAA